ATTTCTCCTCCAAAACCAACAAAGCGGGAACACCACGAAACAAAGCACATTTGAGATATGAAAATCTACCAGTAAAAGAAGACCCAGATAAAGCTTCCATGAACGAACGAGACTTAGCAGATCCAACCAAAAAAACAGGATCGGCATGCCGGTTAACCGCCATGCCGGCAGAGGAAAAACCGCAAGAAGAAGAGAAAGGGAAGAAGACTTCCCTTGGCACGCGAACGACGGAGGAAGCAGCTCCAGGCGCGATGGCACAAGGTGGCTAGGGCGATGCCATAACACACCTCAGAGAGATCGGGGACCTAGTAACTTCTATTACTTCAAAGTGATTCCAACCTAAAAATCTCTTGTAATTATATGGATATCTTTTACCGCTTCTATTAAGTTTAGGGTTTAGGAATCTTTCGATAATTAAAGAAAAGATATGATGATTAAGAGAAGGGAATTGAGAAGTTTATTAAATAGATATAGATTGATTATAACTACAATTTATAATTTTATTTTGATGATAGCTTCCTTCATTTCTTGTGATTTCTCTCTTTTTTCAGCTTCTAATTCTATTTTGCCGCTTTATTTTTTTCCCTTTAATTGCACTTTTTAATAGAGAATTATGAGAGAGAGTTGCAAACTAGCTGATTAAAACTAATTATAACAAGAGGGGGAGTCAACCTTCTTAGGAAAGAGAGAGAGAGAGAGAGATTTATTTTATAAATAACTAAATTATAAATAAAAAATCAAAATGATCCTTTGAATTTTTAATATGCATTCATTTTATTCCTTTTTTTTAGGTGTTTAAATATGTCTCTCAATTCATCAAATATTTATTGAATTGATCTTTTTATTAGCTTCCTATTAACCAATAGAATCTAAGGTTGATGAGGAGTGGCTAAGGCTAATGAGATGAAGCTAGGGTTAAAACTTATTGGTTAAATGGAAGTTGGGGTTGTTAAGTATGTGTTGATTATAAGTAGGGGTGTAAACGAGTCGAGTCGAGTCCAATTTAGCACTGTCGAGTTTGAGTCGTTAGTCGGAAAGCAAGCTCGAGCTCGAGTCGAGCACAAAAGACGAGCTCATCCTACTATAAACGAGTTCGAACCGGCTCACGAGCTGCTCAATTTCGTACCAAATTTCACATTTGTCCCATTTTACCACCCACTTTCTCATTTTGCGCCCGTGTCCGTCCCTTATTTCAAAAATAGACAACTTGCATTAATGAAAAAAATCATAAATAACTAGCAAAAAATAGTAACTATCATATAAGCTGTCATATAAGCCATATAGGCTGTCATATGAGCCAAAGAGAAATATTTTACTTATTTTTTGAGAATCTATTATATAGGCTGCTATATAATTAATGGAGAGACGAAACCGATTTTTTTTAAATAAAAATGTTTGATAATTATTTAATTAATTAAATAATTTCGAGCTGAACTCAAGCTCGCTTAATAAACGAGCTCGAGCTCGTGGCTCGATAAGCTCGGCTCGTGAGCTCGTTATCGAGTCGAGCTCGAACCAGCTCGAAATTATTCTATTATATATAGTATGACTTATTCAGCTAATATTTATTGAGCGAATTCATGAAGCTTAGACAACGAAAATTGATCGGATAAAACTTAGGGAGTAAGTTCATAACGAATATAACTTATCAAATGTTCAAGGTGGAAAGAAGCTAAAGTATTGCTCCATTTGTCTTCATCACCTTGAATCACTCCACACACATATAGGCTTTAAATATGGATACTTCATTACTGCTAATACGAAGTAAAAACACTTTTATTAACTAATAGTTTTATTTTCTTAAATCAAACTTTCATAGATTTATATTAATTAGATATGAATTTTTTTGCCAAAACCATTCTTCATAGCTATTTTTAAAAATTTATTAAGAACTTATTAATTTGAATTCAAATTTATTAAGAACTTATTAATTTAGACTTCTTTCTTTGCTTGCAAGTGTGATCATCTCCAACTTGCATGCTCGTAATAGATGTCAAATTAAGGCAGTTGCATTTTTTTTTAAATATATGATAGAAAACATTAAGGTAAATTATTGCATTTTTATCAAATTAGTATTGTTAGAAGGTAAATAAATGTGGGCCAAAATTTGATTGGAAAAGTTATACAAAATTTTAATTATTTAAAGATTAAGGCTTTGTTTGAGACAACTTTCTTGTTGCTTCTTAAAACATCTTTCTATTTTAAAATTTTAATTTTTGTACTCTAAATCAGCTTTTTTTTTTTTTTTGGTACTAGAAATTAGCTTTAAGAAGTAGATTTTTGTACTATAAAGTTGCTTTAAATAACAGTAACGAAGCCTAAATTAATCTAACTACCATAAATTAATATTAGGAAGAGATTAAAAATATTTCTAATAATTTTATATATATCATACCATATATTCTAAACTTTAATTTAAATGTGCATCAAAATCTTACTTTTCGCTCTAAGATTAAAATTTTCTCTCTCTTTTTTTTTTTAATTTTCATTTAAAATATAAACTAATAGTGTTATTGAGTAATGAATCATTCGTATTAAGTTTTAAGACATGAATTTAATTTTCCAAGCATGTGATTTCATTAATTGCATATAAATTTTGAGAAATTTGGTCATTAATCCCCTTCATAATATTTTTATTCTCTAATTCAAGAAATGAACAAGAAATTAACTTCCATTTAAATCTACCATGTTATGCTTGAGAAATTCACTCTCTTCAAACTTCTATACTTCTTTTGATTTGAATAATGCTTATCTTTCAACTTTTACAAAGATAATACTAATTCATCAAAAGCACTGGAAAGTTCTTCATAAATCAAATTGGGGTTGATAGGTGGAGCAATGTGTTCTTCTTTATTTTGTCTCTTCATCAAAGAAGGATTTTGCTTGGTCTTTAGAAAGTAGCAAGAAAACTATCTCAAATGAGAAAAACTATTATGTGCGGTTACCGGACCGTTCGGAGGCGAATCAGAATGTGTCACGCCACCCGGCATACAACGGTATATAGCATCAGCAAACATAAAAAATGATGATGTGGCGAGTCCCGATTCGCCTCCGGACGGCTCCTGGTTATCGCAAGTAATAATTTCTCCCCAAATGTAGAAACCTTTATCTTCTACTTACTCATTTTCCTCTTACTGATCTCTTTCATATATTTCTTGTTGTATGAATATCCATGATTCTTCATATTATATGTTGATGTTCAACTAAAGGTATTGTTTTCTTCAATAATCTCCTTATCCATCTTATTTATATAACTTCTACAAATTGAATAGTAAGAGCATCTAATATTTATTTTTTAATTTTAAATAAGTGACAAGTACAAAATCTTTTATTCTAATGGTTTGCAGGATTGACACAATAGCCTTTGGGATTTTGAAGAGTATCAACGTATAATCAGAATTGCTAAGATTTGAAAAGAATGCTATAAAATATTAGAAGGTGCTTGCATTCCATGCGGTCACATGGATGGATTCATGTTTTACTTGAAAGAGACAAAAGAGGAGAAATGGGACTATCGATCAAGTTGTGAGTCTTTATGCTATTTGATTTGATGATCCCTCTTAAAATTTATTTAAATATTTAAATTCCTCTTAAAAATAGTTTATACAAAATTTAATTTTTTCCTAAATTTTCCAACGAAAGAAATAAAATCCTCTAAAAAATTCATTGTAAAATCATCATTGTTTATTTTTTTTAACTTTAGTCTTTAAATATTTGCTATTAATTCGTATAAAAAATTAGAAAAAAAATTGCAATGAGAAATTATTTTTGAGTTTTTATAAAACGATTTTCAATAGATAATGGATGAGGGATCCTCCGAAACGGGGTAATCTCAGGCGCACTCAGCATGAGCTGGAGAAGAGCATCAGCCCATCCTGCATTAGCTTAGCAGATGCCTCCGGCTTCTAACATCAATCGTGGATCCGACGAGAAAAAATTGCTTCTTGCCGTCGCATCGGATCAGTAGTTCGGTACTGCATCAAATTTTAGCTTTTAAAAAATGAGGAAAGTTATAAAAAATTGGAGGAGAGCAAATAAAGAAAGTTATAATGAGGGATAATTTTCTTTTTGTTGTGTTGTTAACTATAATCTTAGGTCATGTCTTCTAATAAATGTATTGACAATGACTAGTGGTGAATAGGCTCAGGCAATGAGATTCATATATGAAGCTATGAATAGGGAACATAATTAATAAGAGATTTAGAGAATAAGAAGCTTTTTATATAAGTAGATATAGGATATTATAGAAGAAAATGAGATCGTCAGCTACATCATAAATTTGCATTTTGTTGTTTATTATTGAACCCTCTAATTTCATTATGAGGACTATTTTGTAGGATATTATTGTATATAATAACTAAAAACTTTACATTTTTATATAATAATCATTTCCTTTTATTCTAGTAAATCGACCCGTTTGTAAAAACGGGTCGGGTTCGGGTTGACCCGAATAGTGCCGGGTCATTTCCGGGTTCGACCCGAACCCGACCCGTGACCCGAAATTGACACCCCTGGCTGTAGGATGAATGAACAAGTTAAAAATAACAAGTTAGTTTTTAGTATGCTTAGTAACAAAATCAAAAGTTAAAAAATAGACACCTCATGTAGCAACCCGAAGATATGAAAAATATTCTAAAATGGAAAAAAAATAGAAAATTGAATTTCTGTTTGAACTTAAGTGCAGCGACGTTGTGCTTGTAAGTGTTGCGGCACTAGGGTTGAGAACACAATGTCGCCAAAAAATTGCCGTTGCAGCATTTGAGTATCTATTTTTCTAGTAATTCTAATTTAACATGCAGCACTGCGGCGCAGGGTAGAAGCGCTGCAGTGTTAGGCCACTTATCATCTTTTTTAATATATTTTATTATAAATATACTTATCACCTCTCCCTCTGCCTTATTTGCTTAGGCCTGCTGTGCAAGGAGAGGAAGGAAGAAAGAGAGGGAGTAGAGAGAAAGGCATTCGGGGCATTTTCATTCGTCTATTATGTTCGAAGATTTTGATTTCTTCTAATCGTAGTAAGAAACTGAAAGCTCATTTTAGTTTTCAATGACTTTGAGTTTGACAGATTTATTCTCTCATAAATTGATAAAAATATATTTTCTCCTTATTTATTATATTTTTACCGTGCAACTTTTTATGCGATAGATACAGATTTTATGAACAGTTTGACTGTCATATTATACCAAATAATAGAAAAGAAGCTAAAGTATTGTTCCATTTGTCTTCATCACCTTGAATCACTCCACACACATGTAGGGAAAGCTTTTGTCTTCTGGAATTATAAAATCCTCTTGCAAATCTACTTCACAAATTCTATTCCACACAAATCCATTTCATCAGAGAGTGAGAAGATAGAGAGGAGAAGAAGTGAAGATGTGGTAGGAAGATTAGGTGGGGTGTAGGAGTATAGGAATATGGGTGTCAATATATGGCACGACTCAAAAACCCGACGCGTTCGCAGCCGCATCCTTCCCTGCACTAGCTCTCATAATCGCCCTCACGACCTCACCCTCGCTTGCCAGCATGACCTTTCCCTTGTTTGCCCTCAAGACCTTGCCCTCGCCTTCACCCTCTCCCTCGCCCATACTTATGTCCTAGTCCTAGCCCTCGAGGCCTTTCCCTCACTCTCACCCATGAGGCCTTATCCTTGCCCGCACGTCCCGCACTAGCTCTCATAATCGCCCTCACGACCTCACCCTCGCCTGCCCGCGCGACCTTTCCCTTGCTTGCCCTCAAGACATTGCACTCACCTTCACCCTCTACCTCGCCCATACTTATGTCCAAGTCCTAGCCCTTGAGGCCCTTCCCTCACTCTCACCCATGAGGCCTTATCCTTGCCCGCACGTGCTCGCATAGTTGCCGTCGGCCTCACCCTCAATGCCTCGCCCACACAGTTGCACTCGCCCTAGCTACCTCGCCCACTCCAACTCTATCTCACACTCGCCCTCTCATGCTTGCACAAAAACACTTATCGCCGCCCTCTCTCGCCTCGCCCTCACCCTCAATGCCTCGCCCACACAGTTGCACTCGCCCTAGCTACCTCGCCCACTCCAGTTCTATCTCACACTCGCCCTAGCCTCTCATGCTTGTACAAAAACACTTACCGCCGCCCTATCTCGCCCTCGCCGTTTCATGCTCGCGCTCAGCTTCTCACTCACAATCGCCCTTACCCTTGCCCGCTTAGCATGCTCACACTTGCCCATTGCACTCATCTATCTCGACCAAAATCCTCTTTTGACACCCCTAAGTAGGTGTTGAGGTTTATGTAGGTAGTGGTGTGTAGAGGTTGGAGTAGGGATAAGGGTAGAGATCTAGGGGTTACGGTAAGTGTAAGTGTAAGAGGGTTAGGTTAGGGATGAAGTTAAGGGGAGGGGTGGAGAGAAGCTTAGGTTTGGGCGATGTGTAAAGGGTGGAGGTAGAGGTTGGTGAAGGTCATAGAAGAAGAGGTCGGTGTTAGCGGCGTAGGGTTAGAGGTCAGTATAGATAGTAGGGGTAGGAGTAGAGGTGAGGGTAGGTAGTAGGCACTACAGGAAAATGACAATTTCCGGCGACCATTTCCGCCGAAAAAATGGCTAAAATCCGTTTGAATTATAATTTTATAAGTAATTTTTTTTAAAGTAATTATAATTTTAAAAGTAAAAATATTTTTTGAAGATAAAAAATAAATAATTTAATTTAATAGGGTGGGAGGGTGCATATGGCATGCTTGATATGAAATGTAAGAACTTTAACATTGATATTTCTTGTATATGTTAAGTGTGTATTACAAATTAAAACAATGATTCTAATGGTTTGCAGGATTGACACAATAGCCTTTGAGATTTTGAAGAGTATCAATGTATAATCAGAATTGCTAAGATTTGAAAAGAATGCTATAAACTATTAGAAGGTGCTTGCATTCCATGCGGTCATTTTCATGTTTTACTTGAAAGAGACAAAAGAGACAAAAGAGGAGAAACGGCACTATCGATCAAGTTGTGAGTCTTTATGCTATTTCATTTGATGATCCCTCTTAAAATTTATTAAAATATTTAAATTCCTCTTGAAAATAATTTATACAAAATTTAATTTTTTTCCTAAATTTTCCAACGAAAGAAATAAAATCCTCTAAAAAATTCATTGTAAAATCATCATTGTTTATTTTTTTTAACTTTAGTCTTTAAATATTTGCTATTAATTCGTATAAAAAATTAGAAAAAAAAAATGCAATGAGAAATTATTTTTGAGTTTTTATAAAACGATCTGCAATAGATAATGGATGAGGGATCCTCCGAAACGGGATAATCTCAGGCGCACTCAGCATGAGTTGGAGAAGAGCATCAGCCCATCCTGGATTAGCTTAGTAGATGCCTCCGGCTTCAGACGAGGAAAAATTGCTTATTACAAATTAAAATTTGTTTTTTAAATTTTGCCTTTTTTTTTTCTTTCAGGAAAAACACGCAGAGAAGAATATTAAAAAAGAAAAGAGAGACAAAGAGAAGGAAGGACACAGAGAAAAGGGACAAAAATGATCGAATCAGAGATAAACACAAGGAAAAGAAGGATCAAAAGCATAAAGACAGGAAAAACGAAAAGGAATGGGACAAAGGCAGGACATCACAAGACCGAAAAGCTGAAGGTCTATCCCAGGGTCACAATGAGTTACATATCAAAGAAAGCTTGCAGAAGACTGAAGAAGAGTTGGGCAAGAGGTCTAAAGATGAAGGGGTAGAAAATCCAATGGTTGGGAGAAAGTTCGAAGGGGCGGCCGGCACTGCTAACGCGTCACTGGAAAACGAAAGAGTTGCGGCTAGCCAGGCGTTTTCTGTTCAGGTTGTTTCAGTGCAAAGAAGAAACGATAGAAGTGAAAATTTTGCCATTTCTCTTCAAAAAGAAGCCGAGTATGTTCGCACAGAAGCTACAATGGACAAGGAAAGAAGTAGAATGCATGGAAGCAGGGATACCGTGCCAAGTCGAAATCATGCGATATCCAGATCAACGGAAAGTGTTTCTGATTTGGTTATTAGAAAAACAGGAGGAGGCTCTACAGCTGACATGGAGAAGGAAAAATGCGGTGAAAGAAGTGTGGTTTCAAATTCTGTTGTACCTGGGCCTGACAGGAGGAAAGTTCTTGGTGCAAGAACCTTGGCTTCGACTTCCCTTGCTACAGTTCAAAGAAGAAAGGTTGTTTTGGGCATGCCAGTGGAAAATCTCTCCTCCATTCATGGAAAGACCGAGATTCATATCAATGTGGTTCTTCTCTATATGCAGTGACTGGTTTTATCTCCTGTACTTCACAGAAAATGATGAACGGCCTGGAAAGATACCAAGGTTATGGGAACTACATCTCACGGCTCCATCTAGCATTTCCTTGAGACCGGATCGATTATTAGAAAACAAGGAAAGATTGGTAAATGGCAACGTAATTTCCAAGTATCTAAGCCAGATCTACACCGTTCCGAAAATGGTGGAATATCCCGAGCTTGATAACCAGGAATGGCTTTTCAACCTCCATGATTCTCTGCAGAAGTCTAAAATAGAGCTCAAGGCTGAGAAAATACCCCAGGTATTTGCCCAGGCAACGCGGATTGATTCGGCTGATATATTAGCTCTGCCATATGTAGTTCCATTCTGATGCAGAGCCCTACATTGGGTACCCATATCCACACCCATCAATATTTTATATTATTGCTATCCTCACTACGTAGTGTGCATCACTTAACCACGCTGCTACTACGATAAATTCTGATATGGCTTGAAAGTTTGCAATCTGAGCAAAGGGCAACAAGCCTCAGGGCCATCAGTCCGTGGTAGACTGCGTTCAAAAAGCATGGAAAGTGGATGGGCATAGGTGAGCACGGCATACCGAAAGTCATCATAAATGGGCGTGGGTGGGCGAAGTCCGTTCGAGTAAAGCATGGGTACCCAACCAGGACCCCATATAGGGCTTTGTTCTGATGATTCTTCCTGATGTCTAGAGACTGTGATTTCTGTTTTCTTTGGTGCTCCTGCCTTCACTTGTTTCTATTCTTTCAGTTATGTGTATTAGGGTTTTATAAAGGAAGTTTGCATTCTATTGGCAATACTAATATTGCATTGAAGAACGGACCTTGGAAAGGCTGGAGTGGTCTTTACATCACAATTTTGATTTTTATTTGTAAATCTTTTTAGTAGAAGAAAATGTACAATAGATCCAAGCTGCTCTATGGCAGCAGAGCTGCTCCTGTAAGTTTCTGATGTTTTGGGAAGTGCTCAAGTGACGCATGAATCTGATATGTAATTTAATTCAAATTTAGACTTTGTTTGGGGTAATTTTGTAATGTTTGCCTTTTAAGACTACATTCATAATATATATTTGGCCGGAATTTTTTCATTGCTTCCAAGAAAAAATGGCATAATATATATATTTGGCTGTTATTTTTTTTGCTGTTTCCAAGAAAAAATGTTCTAGAAATTTGTTTTTTATAATAATTTCAAAATTTTATTTTTCCTTAATTATATGCTAGTATATATAGAAATTGTAATATCTTAACTATTTCATTTGGTAGGCTATTGCATATACCTTTTCATTAGTATGATATCATATTAAATAAGATTTCATTTGGTATAGTTTTTTGTGGCTATTTTTTATTATTTTTTAAAAATATGTGATATAAAGTTGGGAGTAAGAAAATTGTCTCAAATAAAATATAAATAAATTAGTTGAATGTGTTATAAAATTAGTAAGAAATAATTGTATAATCTATTAATGTTAAAAGTATGGCATATCAATTTCAATTTGGCTTGAATCTGTGAAAAATTTTAGGTTTTAATTGTAAAGATTTTTCTACTACTTTTTAAAATAATTTTTTAACATAAATAATTTTTATTCGAGAAATATTTGTACTAAACAATCGTTTTAGAAAGCAATAAAAAATTTGACCCAAACGGAAGCTTGAATTTCAATTGATTATTGTAGCATATTTATATACTAGAATTAATGGGTTAATGACATACCATCTTTTAATTGGGATCAAATGGAGATGGTTTAATTGTGATTGGGCAGAGTAAATTATTGATATATCATCAAAAAATTATATTGATCGGGCACGAATCTCGAGGCAAAATCAAGCTGGAAGTTTCAAAAATTAAATCCAGGATCACCTAAACTTCGATTTCAGCGAACATACAGTCAAACTGAGCATCTCAGAAATACGAACCGAATGACACCAAATTCGACTCAATCCGAGCCCAAATCAAGGACCCTAAGCGCTTTTGGAAAGTTCGAACCACAATTTGAGTTACCAAACGGTTTCCAAATATGACGTTCGTATAGTTGAATTGAGCGGCCCGAAGAGACGAATCCAACGAGCCCAAGATCGTCGAATTCCAACAACATTAAGACCTTCAAATGTTTGACGAACGGTACATGATCAAGGGATTCAATAGCAGCCGTCCATCCGACCACTCTCTATTTACCACTGATCTCTCACATATTTACAAGCCATGCCACTCCAGAATATCTATAAACAGACCCCTCATTTCTCATGAGAGGGGATCCAAGCAAGAAGAAGAGAAGGATAGGAGGGAAGAACTCCTCCTTGACCACCGCCAGAGTTCTGCCCGACACCGGAATACTGCCCGACTTCCGAACAACGTCGGAATTCTGCCTGACGTCCAAGTGATGCTAGTTCTGCCTGATTCCATAATTTTGCCCGACTTCCGAACGATGCCGGAGTACTGCTTGACGCCCAAGTGGTGCTAGAGTTCTATCATACTCTAGAATTCTACTCGGTCTCCAAGTAACGTAGGAACTCTGCCCGACGTTGTAATTATATCGCAATCCAGAAGTGAAGCATTATAAATTTATCATCCTAAATTTTAAGGACAAATCAGCCTCTTATACTTCAAATAAATACCAGTGGAATTATTTCAACTGGGCGTGGCCCCGTGGGTTTTTCCCTTTCTAGGATTTTCCACGTAAAATCTCGGTGTTTCTATTTCTCTCATGTTTGTGTGCTAGATATTCATACAACATTGAGATAAAAATTTTCTAATTCTATCACCGCGTATATTCTAGTCCGTAACAGTTTGGCGCTATCCGTGGAAAACATTATCCCACAATTTCAAGTATTATTTTAATGGTCAACAGGCATAGCAGTCGCATCGTTAGGGCTTCTCGCTCCAACTCCCACCAGTTCAGAACTCAGTCTATGAATCATAGACACCCGATGTTTGCCTCTTTTTACCTTGGGGGAAAAAATGCTGCTGAAGAAGAAATCTCGGGACCTTCCTCAGAAGAGAGAATCTGAAAGATGGAAGAATCTCAGAACGAGATCCTTCAGCTCCTGCGAGATATTCGACAGCCGACACTAACACAATGGGATGAAAGTTCTTCTCCCTCGAGATCCACTACTGGCCGAAGATGTTTAACTTGAACATCTTCAATTAGATATTCCTCTTCCTCCACCAAGGAGGCATATACAATCACATCAAAACAATAAACTTGTCGATACAGCAAGTTCTATCTATCCCTCACATACCGGTCGACAACCTCGCATTCTTCTAGATCTCCCTGAAGACTCAACCCAACCGCACATTGCTGAGCTCCCTCACAACGCCCTATGTCATGAACTGTGGAGATTTGTATGAAAAGAGTTCCCCCGAGGAGATGTGAGGCAAACTCTCCGACATAGGAACTTCCAGGAGTCATCACCTATAACTGAAGCCATTCTTCAGCACCCCATTCCAGTTGGATTCAAAGTACTGAGCGTTGAATCCTACGACAGAACATCCGACCCCTATGAGCATATCAATCACTATAGAACCATCATGCATATCCAGCGAGCCTCGGACGCACTTCTCTGCCATGTTTTTTCTTCCACACTTAAAGGATATGCTCGAATGTGGTTCTATTCACCCCCTCTGGAATGATTCCTTCATTTATTAAATTGACCAAAGTGCTTGTTGAACAGTTCGTAGCTAATCGAAAAATTGTTAAGGATTATTCCCACCTATCCGGGATCCGTCAAAATGAAGGAGAATCATTGAAGGAGTATTTTAAGCAATTTTCCTCTGAGGCTCGATAAATTCTAGGAGTAGATCCTAAGTTGCTGGGAGGAGTCTTTCTCGGGTGTCTTCGTCCTGTCCCCTTCTATTCGATAATTATGCGAGATATTATTCATTCATATGCCGACCTGATTCATCATGTGGAGGCACAAATCTTGACAGATGAAATCATAAATGCTCACAGAAAATATTTTGAGCAAATCAATGGAAAACATAAAGGTGCACATAGGATGGATAATTCATACTCACAACAGAAGAAGCAATGGAAGAAAAATCTACCTCCTAGGCCTCCACTACCGTGATGGGAACCTCGATAGGAAAAGGAATATGCCTCACTCAACACATCTCGAACAAATGTATTGATGGCCATTCGAGATCAAGATACAGTGAAATGGCCGAATCCTTTGAAGCCAAACACAGGAAATCCAGATCAGTACTGTCACTTTCATCGTAGTTATAGTCACACTACCGAAGCCTGTAAACAACTCAAGGATGAGATTGAAAGACTTATCTATTAGGGTTATCTTTGAGAATTTATTTGAGATCCACCTGCCTGAGAGAAAGCTCTTCCCGCTGGGGGGCAAAATCAACAACAAAGACAACCATTGAATAATATTCAAATGATTGATGAGATTGAATGATCGCGCACTTCGTGCAGTTGTATTAGTAATATTAGTTATCTTTTTTCATCGTGTTTCTTTTATGTTAAATAGGGTGTCACTTTGATATCCCTAATATTTTCTTCAAAGTAAAAATTGTGTTGTCATTATACATATATCTTATATGTTGAGTACAGCATAACTTGTATATCCCTAAGTCGTTGTTCACTCCATTTTAATATTATCACATTTTTAAAATTATAAAAATGATAATAAAAACTACCGACATATATAATCTCTTTATCCGTGATTTGGGAAATACATAATCTTTATTATATCTCAATCATTAGATGATCAATCCCTGGGAGATTTGATCTGATCTCTTCCACACAAGTTAACGTCATTGAGCAAATGCTCTGACATATAACCTCAGATAGATCTTACATCTTTGGTGGATTCTCCTGACCTCTTCCACACAGTTAACATCATCGAGCAGAGCTCTGACATACAACCTCGGATAGGTCTCACATCTTTGGTGGATTCTCTCGACCTCTTTCACACAGGTTAACGTTATCGAGTAGGGCTCTGACATACAACCTCGAATAGGTCTTACATCTTTGGTGGATTCTCTCGACCTCTTCCACACATGTTAACGTTATCGAGCAAGGCTCTGACATACAATCTCGGATAGGTCTTACATCCTTAGTGGATTCTATCGGCCTCTTCCACACATGAATACAAAATCTTGGAAGGATAAAAAACCTCAAAGATCACGGAAGGCACATTTATCAAAGCATATCTCAAAGAGGCATAAACTAACTTAATTTTCTTTGGATGAAGAGTTCATTTCAAATAAAAAATAAGCATCGAGCTCATACAATAATCTCAACTTTTTATACAATATCATTGGAGTTATATTACAAAATTCTGCATCAAGTTCAAGTGTACATTTATTCTCATTAGAAGTTGAAATCAAAAAATATATTTACATCATTCATACATAGATATATAATGATGACACACTTCCGTATAGATGCATATTGCCTTTGCAAAATGTCACTGAACACCCGCCATCATCGGCTCTTCATCTGATGTATGCCGGCGGTCCTTTACTTAATATCAGTTATTATCATCTTCTCACTCAACTATTAATAGCAGCACACCCTCCGATTCTCTCCTTTAGCACTCCACTCAACCTTTGACTGCCGGCGAACTTCTTCTCAAATAGCATCAAAATTCTCCTCGTCTACTCACCACTTATGGTTATCCTCCCGTCACAGGACTTCTATATATCGCGGGACTTTCGTCAGAATTCTACCCGACATTGAGCCTCCTCCCATCATTGGATTTCTATCCATCATAGGACTTTGATCGGACTTCCAATTGTATGCTGACAATAGTCAATTTTTCCCCAACTGCAAGATCTTGAAGAGGAAAGTGGAAGAAGAGAAGCGGCTACAAAAAGTCCAACTTCTACGCAAGAAGAGGGGCGCTGATTTTGAGTAGAGAAAATCACCTACAAAAAATAGTGAAAGGCCTCTAGAACAAGAACAAGATGGACTCCTGGAGCATGGACGTCCGAACATATTTATGTTTTTTGGAGCGCAATTTTTTGCGATCAAATGAAATTGAAGTGTTATAACA